TATTTATGTATTTATTGTTTATTTGTTTTTTTTTTATGTATTTATCTATATATCTATATGGCCGTTAATATAGCTCTATACAGCCTCACACCCTACAACTGCTGGTATCTATATTTATATTTATCTTTTTTTTTTTTCGTTTTTTTTATTTCTTTTTTTAATTTATTTATATTTATTTATTTATATATTTATATATTTATTTATTTATTTATATTTTTATTTATTTATTATTTATTTATTTATTTACAGCTATCTATCGCCGAAGACAACGATAGAAGAGCACGATATATATGAATATTTATCCTTTTTTTTCCGTTTTTTTATTTTTTTTTTATTTTATTTATATTTATAAATTAATGTATTTATATTTATATATATTTATTTATTTATTTATTTATTTACAGCTATCTATCGCCGAAGACAACGATAGAAGAGCACGAGGAGATGTATCATTACTTAATGACGGAGAACCATAGAGAAGGGAGATACACAGACTTTAATACAGAGATAGCAGCAACACAAGATATACAATATTCTCTAAAACCTAGAAGGTATATATAAACCCTAAACCCTAAACCCTAAACCCTAAACCCTAAACCCTAGATTCTACTTAATTTGGTGTACAATATGATATACTATATGCAGTATAAAAGATACAAACCCTAAACCCTAAACCCTAAACCCTAGACTTACACAAGATATAGAATATTCTCTAAGACCTAGAAGGTATATATAAACCCTAAACCCTAAACCCTAAACCCTAATATATAAACCCTAAACCCTAAACCCTAGATTCTGCATATTTTGGTGTACAATATGATATACTATATGCACTATAAAAAACCCTAAACCCTAAACCCTAAACCCTAAACCCTAGACTTTAATACAGAGATAGCAGCAACAAAAAGCAGGCAATACACCCTAAACCCTAAACCCTAAACCCTAAACCCTAGAAATAAATAAATACAAATAAATAAATAAATAATATTTAAATAAATAGTAAACAACCAAAACAAATAAATACTAATGGTTAATAAATAAAAAATAAATAAATAAATAAATTTATATAATAAACCCTAAACCCTAAACCCTAATAAACCCTAAACCCTAAACCCTAAACACTAAACCCTAAACCCTCCTAAACAAGAAAAAGACTGCCTGCATTTCTTTCATCTCTGATTATTTATACTATCAGCTGCTGCTGCTGCTGCTGCTGTTGCTGCTGCTGCTGCTGCTGCATCTGTTGCTGCTGTTGCTGCCTCTCCTACTACTACTACTGCTGCTACTGCTGCTGCTGCTGCTGCTACTGCTGCTGCTGCTGCTGCTGCTGCTGCTGCTGCTGGTA